AAGGACTACACCCACATAATGAATATTCTAGATGATGCTCTCCAAGGCTTCAGCATTAGAGGTGGCCACATGCAGATCAGGAAACAAAGGAACAAGAAGATGGGTTTCGCGCATAAAACCAACTTCTGCTGCATCCAAGTCCCAAAACCAAGCAAGAAAGATGGATTCTACATCCTCCATCTCGTGATTGAGTTCAGCACGGATCGCCAAAAGCTTCGCATAACAGGTAGAAATGATGATCATATCCACAAGTGGGTAGAATCTCATGGACAAGCGGATTATATACTCAGAAGAGATGACTTCTTTCGCATCCAAAGGGACATTGTGATGATCATCATGAAAGAAGTCGTCGATGAGAAGGGGATGTTCCACCACGGCCCTATATCGCGAGCTGACGTCCGAACTCGCATAGGCATGCAACGCCATGACCTCACGCCATTCAAGATGCTAGGGTCCATCCTGGATGATATGGAAGGATGGAACTTCTAGTGATTTACAATGTCGATGATGATGATATGTGTCGGTTGAACTTGTATACATTCTGTAGCGATGAAACTTTGTGATGTCCACGGTCCCTGCCGAACTTGCGTAACGCTACTTTGTTAATTTGGGTACGATGACCTGCGTACCTCTAGTTAATTAGTTTGCGTACTATATGTTGCATCTAGTTGCTAACCCTTTCTTTTTCGTGTTGCTCTAGTATATTTTGTTGCATATGATTGTACATCCTCTTGATGAAGATGCATCTCTAACAGGTACCTAGCTTCTTGATGGCGAGATGACAGTGCTATGTCGTGTACAAAGGGAATGTTCTGGCGGTGTACAACGAGTGGCTTGAGTGTCAGGCGGAAGTGAATGGGTTCTCAGGCACCAGCCATAAAGGCTTCAAAAGCAGACAAGAAGGAGAAGCTAGTTACTTGAGGTTCACACTAGCGCGAGAGAGGACTCATAACCGCCGCCTCATGTACTGTATAGTTCCGCTCTCACTCATAGTGATAGCTCTTCTCGCGTATACCTTTGTTTAGATGGATGACGTTGTAGTTGCAAGTATTTGAGACTTGCATGTATCACTATTTTTGAGATGATGACAAGATACCACTTTGTGTTGGATGATGATTATGATGAGACTATTTGTATGTATATGCTATGATTATATTTGTGGTCTCGCAGACATTTGTATGTGTATCATAATGACATTTGTATGTGCTAAAGATTCTTCTATAAAGTCTGTTCAAATACAAAACAAATATGCAGAAAAAAACAAAAACTACTAAAATTAGCAGTAGCGAGTGGAGAAAAGTTAGCAGCAGCGCGACAGTAGCAGTAGCACGCACAGGAGAAACGTGCTATAGCTATTAGCAGTAGCGAGCTCCCGAGAAGAACGCTGCTGCTACACTTGTATATCAGTAGCGCGGGAGCGCACACACTGCTGCTACGGGTTAGCTGTAGCGCCTTATTAGTAGCGCCCTGTCCCGCGCTACTGATATACCTAGAACCCGCGCTACTGTTAGGCTTTTCCCTAGTAGTGATGACCACTTTGAAAGGAGAAGAACCCATCCTGAGCGAAGAAAACGTCTTCTCCCGTCACGATGTTTCCACCATTCCAGGCTCCAGGATAGGTTATCCAAGTTACTAAGTCGAGCCCCGTTGCATACGAGGGTAATGTCGTTATACATGTTAGGCAAGGTTGCTCAACATTTAGACTTGACACTATAAGACTCGGGCAAGACTATTGTTCGTTCACCGGAACCGCATAAGTAAAAATTGTTCCTAGATAGGGATATCCACATTACAAAACAGTAAAATGGAGCTACCCACACCCTTCCACAGCACCATAATCATGATCAAGACATGATCATATTACATGCTCAAATCCATCCATTCCTTCTCGCCCTGAATCTAGTTTTCAAAACCATCCCTATCTCCACCTACCAAAGTTTTTCTTTTTGAAAACATTATTTTCAAAACCTCTCCTTAGGCAAATGCCTCCCAAGGTTTTATAAACATCTTTTTAATAAGCCCAACATTTGTCCCATGGCCTATAGTTTTAGTTACTAACACATGGCTAGATGATATAATTTAAACATATCCAAGTTCAATAAAAAGAACTTGGACATAAGGTACTCGCCCTAAGGTGACAAGGTATGGTGTTAATAATATCTAGGGGGTGTCATTTTCCATCAAGCAAATTAGGTGTGCCTACAATATTTGTATGTTTCATGCCTATTTATCCTTCAACCGTGCAGTATTTAACCTTCGTCTGGCTGTAAGGATATAAAACATCTGCTTTTTACATGTGAAAGAGCGAAGCAAGTGTGGACACAACTTGGAGTGTGGTCATTCATTCAGAATTCCATTGATATTGACATATAATGTCTTGTAATCTTGGAGGAACTAATCAGACAGGGAGGTATAGTTCCTTTACTGGACAATCTTGGCATGGCTGAAACTATCATTGGTATAAGTGGTGGGAAAGAATAAAAGCGGCACATGATGAATAGTTTCAAACTCCGGTACGCTCGACAATTTCCATTGCTGTGCTGGCTACAAACTATAAAAGCGCAAATGCTAGAAACGAAGTTAAGCCAAGGGAATGTTGGAAAAAGCCTTTGGAAGAGAAGATCTTGATCAATGGAGGACACATGAGATGGAGGAGCTGGAGTCATTATTAGGGATCATCTCGGAGCTTGCATTGTGTGTTCCCATCGTTATCTTCCTCATGTTGCTGATGCGATTATGGTGGAAGCCTCTGCATTTAGAAAGATCTCCTTGTAGGCTGTAGCACATCATGTGGGTACCGATTCTTTCACTATTCATACTGATTGTCTCCAGGTGGTTCAAACTATGAAGGATGGAGGTTTCTCAGCTACTCTAATGGCACCCGTGTATGCTAATTGCAATATCCTTATTTCTATATTTGATGATGTGCTTGTTGATTGTAATAGGGAGGCCAATTTAGTGGCTCATGAACTTGCTAGGAATGCTTCGATTTTGATCAATGCTTGTATCTGGGATGATAATCCCCTAGCTTTTTGAGAGTCTTGTCAACGATGTAGCCATTCTATCAAACCAATAAAGCTCGCCATGACGGCTTTCCCTAAAAAAGCATTCATCTTTTTCGAATTGTTTGCAGAGAGAATATCACATGAAAACTAAATTTCAAAGAAAACTTCATGAAAACAACATTTCAAAGTTTCAAAAAGATTGTGAAAAGAATACGAGATGTTGAGAGTGCCATGTTCTATTGCTATGCGAAACTTCAAGCTCAAACTCAGGGTTGTACCTTTAAAATGGAGGCCCGGTATGAAATCAAATTTAGGCCCTATATGTAAACATATCAATTAAAATATGTTTCTATGTTATCTATTGCGATGCTAAGGTTATTTTTTTTAATTACATTTTATCATCACAAGAAAACTAAAATAATAATAATGATGAAATCTAGAAAGAACAATAGTCTACTAGAAACTAATTAGAGGGAGAAAGGTTGGAGACCATGACACCACAGTGCATGGGAGTGCATATGTCTTGCTTTACGCGAGACGTAGGACAGCCTCGCCTCAGGGAGCGCAAGGCTGGGTAGGCCCAGCTCGCGG